AAACATTTTGTTAATTGAATTTGTTTTTGACATGTTTGGCATATAAAATCTAAACATTAAGTTGACGTATGATTTTACAAACTTTATTATACTTAGTATATGTTATGCAAAAAGTTGCTTGAAAAAAAACATTAAAAATTCTATTTGAAATAAATAAGCAAGGGTCTTTTAACGAAAATTTCTTATATTTTTTCGAAACTTTAACATGTCAACTACAACAAAAAATTATATATTATTATTTCACATGAGAAATCTTATTCTCCCTTATTAAAACATAAGTATGCTTATTTTTGTACCTTTTTCAAAAAAACTCATATTTATTAATATCGAATTCAAAAGAATATTTCTTTAAAAAAAAAAAGGTTAAAGAGCATATAACAAACACAAGATAAAATAAAACACGTTCTTATGTTCTTAGTATGCCTGAGAAATTGTAAACTTTTTAATAGTTCAGAGTGTGATGACCCAGAATAACTGATTTGGAAGAAGAATCATGAAAAAAATAGAAAAAAAAAAAAAAAAATACAAAATAAGAAAATGTGAAAAAAATAAGTAGAAAATAAAATCAACCCAACTCTATTCAACTGTAAATTCATCACATTAACTTTTAATATAGGATTCAACTGTTTTCCATTACACACTATAGAAAATCACTTATAAACAGTATAAACAAGGGGTGACTTTTTCTTTTCTTTTTTGGATATTTTGTTAATTTCAAAAAGTGCTATATAGATACTTTATAAAACGTGGAACTGTAAACATATGGATTAAAGCGGCAAACGGTATAAAGTAGTTTTCTTATGAACTTCAAATCCTACATGAAATCCGCAAAAATACGCCTTGGCCACTATCGGGCCTGTTGTACTCTCCTTTTCATGGAAAATTTATGATAAAAACTAAATTATTATATAGTATTCACTAAAAGTATTATCGTAAGATATACATAAATTCCTGGACGTAATTCCTAAGAATGAGGGTTCGTTACGGAAATTACATCCAGAATAATATCACTCCCAAGATATTTGAATCTAGTATCTCGGCGAAAACTTGCAGTACTCTCTACATGCTCTACATTTGTCTGATTTCGCACATCCAATTTTGTATAGTTATGCCCGTAATCCGGTGTGTCCACTCAGAATACTAACCTCAGATTTGCTTATTTTGAGGAGGCTTCTCGTCCTGCTCTCGTTAGTGTCGCCCCCTCAGATTCTTTGGGTTTCTACCCACCGTTTTATGTTCATTCTAAGATATTTAAATATAATTTCGGCGAAAGCCTGACAATAAAGTACTCCAGTCCTCTTTACATGACTTCTGTACATGCAGTTTTATATAGCTGTGAACGTAATCTTGTGTGTCCACTCAGAATACTAACCTCAGACTTGCTCATTTTGAGAACGGTTCTCGTCTTACTCTCATTAGGGTCGCCCCCTAGAGTCTTTGTGGTTCTACCCACCGTTTCGTTATACCAGGAGGTCTTGTGGATTTCCTTCACACATATTTTTAGTTCTGCCCTTGTTGCGTCAAATCGTTTTGCGTTCGTCAGATAAACTATCTTAAGCACCTTTCCCTTATAAATATTATACTCGTTCTATATGATACCTATATGATGTAAACCTTACCTCCTATAAGGTCTTACTTTATTATTTGATATCTGAAATATGTTAACTCCTGTGGACACCATATTTATTCTAATTCAATTTAGGCATTTCGTTATTGCTCGGACTTCTGCCTGGAATCTATTGTTGTGATTAGGAAAACGGTGATATATTTCTGTTTCGGGGTCTTCAATATAGAATCCCAGGCCCAATTCGACCCTCAATTTAGAGCCATCCGTATAGCAATGGATTCCTATGGGTATTTGTTACGCTTAACCAAGAGATACTATCTGGTATTAGTGTTTCAAAGTTTCCGACATATTTTGGTGAGCGTTCGGGCACGTCCGATAATTGTGTATAGCCTTCCCAAGTTTCCAGGGTATATATTGATGACTTGTTCTATAAACGCTTTTTGCCAGTTAGTTTAAAGTTTTGAGTCGTTCGGCTGTAAGTTCCGACTCATATCTTATAAATATTTTAATGGTTCAAGAGGTTGACGTAGTACTCATGACACCACTTATACTCAAGCATCATAAACGCTGAATTCCCTGTAGAAGGTTGATATAACACTTTTTGTCCAAAGAAGTCCACCAGATATTTAAAGCATAGGTTAGAATAGGTTTAATTACACTTTTATAAAACCAATAAGTCATAGTAGGACTAAGGTCCCATTTCATGCCTATGGTTGTCCTACATAAAGCCCAGCACTGATGTGCCTTGTTGATACTGTCCTCTATGTGGTGTTTCCATTTTAATTTCCGATCAAGAATTACCCCTAAGTACTTAACTCTGTCTGACATCGATATCTTCTTGCCCAGAAAGCAGAAACTTAGAAATTTTTGTCTGTGAAAAAGACAGATTTCCGTCTTCGCCGGGTATGTATGACCTAGGTTATGGACTTTTCTATGGTCTAGTCGAGAGTTGAGTTGAGAGACCAGTCAATAGACTATTTATCTAATCTATGGACTAGCCTATTAATCTATTGATCAGCTACTAGACCAGTTTGTGGTTAAGACCCTTAACATATCTGTGGACTAGTTGAGAGACCAGCATATGGACTATTTTATAGAGATTGGTTCATTGTCTTGTCTACACGAAAGCTCATAAAAGGCTCAGTCTAATCTAAAGACTTATTTACAGTCTATATATTCGATATAAAATTTTAGGGACTAGTCCATTTAGGGCTAAATTTTACATTCTTAAATCATTAATATTTTTTATCTCAAATTAAGTTCATATATACTTGAGCTTAAATCAAACCGAAAATTCTAAAGACCTTATAACAATCGGTCCATAATTGTCTGAGACTCTGTTTATATTTTAACTGTTATAGGTTTTCGTCGTAACTGAACAGAAACACGTGTTAGAATTTAAAATCATTTAAGTAAAAAAAAATTAAAGCAATTTATTTATAGATTCTTTTTCTATAAGGTATAAAAAGAAAACATTAAATGCCAGATAAGAACCACTTCATGTCTTTCAATTTTTTTTAACCGTTATTTTCATTACTTTTTTATAGTCATGCGTGTGTACGTATGTATGTATTAGGGAATGTGTACTAGTATTTATCCCTACAGTATGGGGTGTTTGTCTCGAAATTGGAATTATGTTTACAATTGAAGATTCTACAGTTTGTTATAACTTGTCTCCTTGTAAAACTGCTGGTTTGTATCAGAGTACATCTTATATATAGTTTGTTTAACACAAATGAACTTTAAAAAAAATTTAAAAAATCAAGTCAAGTAGAAGTTGTCGATATTCTTGTAATACTTACTAATCATTGGTTTTTCCTATAAATTAAAAAAAAAAACAACAATTTTTCATTTTTGCTGTTTACTTCAAGGGCTGCTATTAAATAAAATCATTAATTTAAAAAATAACTAAATTAGAAAAAAAACTGAATCATTGTAGCATTATTTGAGGAGATATTTTAAACTGGTTTAGTTTAAATAGTCAGCAAAAACTTTGCTAATGACTTTGTAGTTTTTGATTACTATACACCCAGTAAAAACCTTACATTACAAAGTAAGTGATTAATATGCAAATACATATTAGCTAATACTTTCATTAGGATTTTAAGTCAATATTTTGAAACTCCTTTTTAGTAGACAAGTCTATGGGCTAGTCTATTGTATAGTCTATTATCTGGTATATGGACTAGCTAGGCTATTAACACTCCTAGGGACCTAATTTATGGATAAGTCTATTGATTACCCTCTACATTATTCTATTAACTAGTCGGCTGACTATTCTATGAACTCCTCTGTGGACCTCTTTTGCCAAGTTTATTGACTACCCTATAGACTAGTCTATTGACAAGTCTATGGACTACTTAGTCTATTCATAAGTCTTTTCGGTAGCCTATTGATCATTCGATTGACTAGCCTATGGAATAGTCCATTGACTAGCCTATGGAATAGTCCATTGACTATTCTATGGATTAGTCTTCTGACTATTCTACGTAGTAATCGAGTGACCTGACTAGTCGATTTACTACTCTATAGACTAGTCTATTACCTAGTGTAATGCCTAGCCTATGATATAGTCTTTTCACTCTTCTATGGACTATACTAGTCTATAACCTAGTCTATAGACTAGTCTTTAACCTAGTCTATAGACTAGTCTATAACGTAGTCTATAGACTAGTCTATAATCTAGTCTATAGACTAGTCTATAACCTAGTCTATAAACTAGTCTATAGACTAGTCTATAACCTAGTCTATAGATTAGTATATAACCTAGTCTATAGACTAGTCTATAACGAAGTCTATAACCTAGTCTATAACTTAGTCTATAGGCTAGTCTATAACATAGTCTGTAACCTAGTCTATAGACTAGTCTATAACCTAGTCTATAGACTAGTCTATAATCTAGTCTATAGAATAGTCTATAACCTAGTCTATAGACTAGTCTATAACCTAGTCTATAGACTAGTCTATAACCTAGTCTATAACCTAGTCTATAACCTAGTCTATAACCTAGTCTATAACCTAGTCTATAGACTAGTCTATAACCTAGTCTATAACCTAGTCTATAGACTAGTCTATAACCTAGTCTATAGACTAGTCTATAACCTATTCTATAGACTAGTCTATAACCTAGTCTATAGACTAGTCAATAACCTAGTCAATAACCTAGTCTATAACCTAGTCAATAACCTAGTCTATAGACTAGTCAATAACCTAGTCTATAGACTAGTCAATAACCTAGTCTATAGACTAGTCAATAACCTAGTCTATAGACTAGTCTATAACCTAGT